ATGTGCTTTACCATTGCTCTCATATGTATGACCTACCGTGGCCCCTATATGAACTACCATGTCCCCTATATGACCTACCATGGCCCCTATATGAACTACCATGGCCCCTATATGAACTACCATGGCCCCTATATGACCTACCATGGCCCCTATGTGAACTATCATGGCTCCCATATGACCTGCCATTGGCCTCTATATGACCTACCATGGCCCCCATATGACCAGCCATGGCCCCTATATGATCTACCATGGCCCTTATATAAACTACCATGGCCCCTATATGAACTACTATGGCCCCTATATGACCTACCATGGCCCCCCGATATGACCAACCATGGCCCCCATATAACCTACTATGGCTCCCATATATATAAGCTACCATGGCCCCCCATATATCCTACCATGGCCCCCTCATATGACCAACCATGGCCCTCATATAACCTACCATGACTCTCATATATGACGAACCATGGCCCTCATATAACCTACCATGACTCATATATGACGAACCATGGCCCTCATATAACCTACCATGGCCCCTCATATGACCAACCATGCCCCCCCCCCCAATATATAAGCTACCATGGCCCTCATATAACCTACCATGACTCTCATATATGACCAACCATGGGCCCCCCACACTACCATGTCAGTTTGAACTTAAGGTCTTGCCCCTTACCTATGCGCTGTGTTTCCGCCAAATGATGCCTTGACCGTAGCGTATGTGCATTACCCCAGCAGAATGGTCGCATCCCCCCTCTCCCCCCCCCTCTCTCTCTCTCCCCAACATATAACCATGTTGGGGAGGGAGGGAGGGGGCATTTCCCCCTCCCTCCTCCCCCCCCCCCCCCTCTACTGGGAGTGCGGCTACCCTATTTGCTTGCATGATGTTCTTTAGTAGATAGAGCAGATCCCACTCCTTTCGAAAGGGTTCCAACGCCACTTCCTTTGTATCCGCAGTGCGTGATCCTTGCCGGGGACGGAAGTGTCAGCACGGAGCCGTGTGCGTGGCCACTGACGACCGCCGCAGCGCCAGATGTGAGTGTCCGGTGGAGTGCCGGGTCTACGGAGGGGGTCTGGGGTCGGTGGCCGTGTGTGGCTCCGACGGGGAGGACTACGATAACGAGTGCCAGCTTCGGAGGCACGCCTGTAGGAGCCAGCGACACCTCGAGGTCAAGTACATTGGCAAGTGCGGTGAGTAAATCCTTGTGTTGTTCCCATTTTCTCCCCGCCACACTCCTTTTAATTCCCCGCCATAATCACTTCCTCCCCCACCACTGTCCACCCCGACGTTCTCTCCCCACCACACCCCCCAACACCACCCCCCCCCCCCACTCTCCCCCACTCCACCACCTCGCCAAACCATTCAACCGAATTCTAACTCTCCTCACATGAGACCTCGACGTTTTCCTCCGGGTTGGTACACCTGTTAATGTTTATATTTATAAATAAACTCATTAAATTCAGCATTACAAGTCTGCACTCAACGTAAAGCATCACGGAGCAACTGACAGCAACACATTTCTTGCAGACACACACACACACACACACACACACACACACACACACACACACACACACACACACACACACACACACACACACACAGGGGGGCCTCGTAGCCTGGTGGATAGCGCGCAGGACTCGTAATTCTGTGGCGCGGGTTTGATTCCCGCACGAGGCAGAAACAAATGGGCAAAGTTTCTTTCACCCTAAGTGCCCCTGTTACCTAGCAGTAAATAGGTACCTGGGAGTTAGTCAGCTGTCACGGGCTGCTTCCTGGGGTGTGTGTGTGTGTGTGTGGTGTGGGAAAAAAAAAAGTAGTTAGTAAACAGTTGATTGACAGTTGAGAGGCGGGCCGAAAGAGCAAAGCTCAACCCCCGCAAAACACAACTAGTAAACACACACACACACACACACACACACACTCAGGCTCAGGAATAGGCTCAGGAATAGGCTCAGGAATAGGCTCAGGAATAGGCTCAGGAATAGGCTCAGGCTGAGGAGTAGGCTCAGGAATCTGTACACCAGTTGATTGACGGTTGAGAGGCGGGACCAAAGAGCCAGAGCTCAACCCCCGCAAGCACAATTAGGTGAGTACAATTAGGTGAGTACACACACACACACACACACACACACACACACACACACACACACACACACACACACACACACACACACGCACGCCATAACAACACAAGCAATAATATTCACTCACAATATCATTCCAACAAGACACAAATACTCTCAATATCACTGCAACAAATATAGTCACAATATAACTGCAACAACACATATAGACTTGGTATCACTGCAACAATTCACACACACTCGCAGTATCATTGTAACAATGCATATACAAACAATATCCTTCCAACAATACACATACACTCACAATATCATTGCAACAATGCATATGCACTCACACTTTACACAATTCACTAACAAAACCCCTCTACTTAAGATGACTGCAAGTCGCAAGATGCCTCAGCAGTTTCCTTGGCAATTACAATCCTACTCACCCTGCTTCAGTGATTACAATCGTTAATTATTCGATAACCAAATTCAATGTTGAACTCTGCAAAATCAGCGCATACAGTGTTATCTGCTAGATATTGCAAATTAAAATTGCATACTCAAGGCTGCAAGTGGAAATTGGGTAGCATAAAATTGTCTGGATCTTTCAAGGCGCTGAATCCGTAAGTAAATTGTGATCTCGGTATAACGAGGTCTTCCTATTGTTAACTTTTAATGTAATAGACCACTTGGACTGGTCGTTAGACATTAGTCTTGGCTTCTTCTATGTTAACTAAGACTAAGGTTCAGTAGGAATCACGCTGAAGTTCCTAGTGAGGCTGAAAGCTAACAGTTGTTATCCTATAATCAGCTCATCGGAATCTGGGGCCTGATTCACGAAAGGAGTTTCGCAAGTACTTACGAACGTGTACATCTTTCCTCAATCTTTGACGACTTTGGTTACATTTATTAAATAGTTTACAAGCATGAAAACTTCCCAATCAACTGTTGTTATTGTTATAAACAGCCTCCTGGTGCTTCAAAGCTCATTAACTCTTTAATAATTGTAAACAAAGCCGCCAAAGATTGAGAAAAGATGGACAGGTTTGTAAGTGCTTGCGTAACCGCTTCGTGAATTTGGGCCCAGGTCTCTAGAAACTCATTCGAAGAATTCTTGAGTTTTTATACATTACGAATAAAGTAAATTTAATGGTAGGTAACAAGTAGGAAAAAGGCTGGAGCAGGAGTCAACTGTATGCTGAAGCTGTCATCTGGTCCGTGGCTTGATTTGACTTGTATCAACATGTTGAGCAAAGGTGTTCCAAATGTGAGGTAGTCTGGTCGTCGACCGGACCAGACCCCGCGGCCTGGTCGACGACCGGGCCGCGGGGAAGCTAAGCCCCGAAAACACCTCTAGGTAGCCTAGGAAGGGTTGCTGATGGAGTGAAATACTTAAGAATTGCACAGATAGCAAGAGAGGCTATTGATTGCTGAGCGCCTTGTGTTGTGATTGCCGACGTCTGCTTGTCCACGAGGCTGGGCCAGGTATTGGGAACCGTGAAATCGTTTGCATTCTACATATCAGTAAGCCTGGTGACATCTCTGCGATGTTGGAGGCTCGATGTGCTGACCAGTCTTGATCAAAATTATGATAAACGACGTGGATAGGTCATCCAAGAGGGCAGTGAGGACTCAAGACGGGGACGAACTTGAGGCTCATGTAAGGTTTAGCAGCCGCTGCTGTCAAGACGGTATGAGATTTGCCTTAACGTCTTGCCTGCCTTGCTTGCTGGGTTAAGCACGTGACTTTTCATGGTCACTGAGGAGTCAGACTTCATTCCCAAGATGTCATCTTTGATAACTGTGTTTTTGTCCACTCGTTTGTAAACCCGTTCCAGTTGCAATATTATACTGTTTAGTTATCACCATCGCCTGTCTCTTTCCTGTCGTAAATGTGACTTATCATCGTCTTCCCCAGTTAGGTATTGCTGCATATTTGTGGTTAATGAGCCTAGTAGCAGTTGGTATTTCCTCTTTTATCCACACGTAAAGATTTTAGTGCAGTTATAAGCATAGGTCTGAGGTGAAGCAGATCACTGAAGTGGACACTGCACAAGCAAGGGCCAAGAACACTACCCCTCCGGCATGCTGGCACTAACTGAATGGTTTTCAGATTACGCTCCATTGGGAACTACTTAGTCTGTTCTTGAAGGTAGTCTCATATTAGCAGTAAAAGGGAGTCTGATATACCAAGTTGTTGTTGTTGTTTAAGATTCGCTACTTGGAACAAAAAGTTCCAAGTAGCACGGGATAGGGTGAGCCCGTAGCTATATACCAAGTGTTTGAAGCTTCGCTAGCACTACAACGTGCCACACCACGCTCCTGCAATGTTCAGGGCAACAACGCAATATTTTTGCAATCATCCGGTGCCTGATGCCACTTACTCGAGAGATTTACCAACACGGCCCAAACTATTGGGCAGTATTCCTGCCTTCCCAACTCCTTATCTTCATGTCCCGACACCTTGTTCTCGTAGATCACCTTCTTTTCCTCATACCCCTTCCCAGTGCTATGTAGTCCATCTGGCTCAACTCTCTCATCATAAATTACATTACTTTTTAATATAATATTTGAAAACTCATTTGACAGCAAATGAGTTTACTAGATGTGAAGAGATTAGAGTTGGGGCCAAATAAGTCAAATACACCATATTGTCAAATTGTTGAAACATCAGTGTTGTAAATATTGAATCCCTTTCCTGTTCTTTCGCTCCCTTCATGTTTACCGACTAGAAAAGGAGTCCTTCTTTTCTTGAGGTTATCTTGAGATGATTTCGGGGCTTTAGTGTCCCCGCGGCCCGGTCCTCGACCAGGCCTCCACCCCCAGGAAGCAGCCCTTGACCGCTGACTAACACCCAGGTACCTATTTTACTGCTAGGTAACAGGGGCATAGGGTGAAAGAAACTCTGCCCATTGTTTCTCTCCGGCACCCGGGATCGAACCCGGGACCACAGGATCACAAATCCAGCGTGCTGTCCGCTCGGCCGACCGGCTCCCTGGGAGAGGACGTGACACCAAACCTAACTCCAGAGACTCATAAAAATAGAAAAAAACCCATACGCATACTCTACGCTGGCGAAAGTCAGAACATCCTTCAAGAACTTGAATAAGGAGGTATTTAGATCACTGTATACCGCCTATGTGAGGCCAGTCTTAAGAGTATGCCGCCCCATCTTGGAGTCCCCATCTTAAAAACACACAAGGAAGCTCGAAAAGGTGCAGAAGTTTGCAACGAGACTCGTCCCAGCGTTACGAGTGATGAGGTACGAAGAGAGACTGAAGAAACTAAACCTGACGACGTTAAAAAGGAGGAGGAAGAAGGGGGACATGATATAGGCGTATAAAATACTTAGGGGGATTAACAGGGTAGAAAAAGAGAAAATGTTGAAAATAATACCAATAGAACAAGAGGGGCACGCTTGAGACTCGGATGTGTCATAGAGATAATAGAAAGCTTTCTTTTTTGTGTAAGAGTAGTGAAGCAAAGTCAGTTTACAACTTTAAAAGCAGGTATGATAGAGAAATAGATCAGGAGTCATTGCATTAGACAACCAACGGCTAGAAAAATGAGGTCCAAGAACTAGAGTTCGATCCTGCAGGTACAAATAGGTGAGTACACACACACACACACACACACACACACACACACACACACACACACACACACACACACACACACACACACACCAGCCCGTCCCCTCCATGTTCAGGTGGCCAGCCAGAGGCTTAGACCCACGCAGGAATTTCCCTGCAAAAAAATAGTTTCCCAACGTCTAGAAAACGGTTACTTTAAAGTGGCCTTATCCTACCCTACCAGAGGACCCAAAATAAAACAGGACAACGGCACTTTCGACAGCCGCTTTTATTTTCTAGTATGACAATTTTTAGACTTGTGTAACGCATACGAGCAAAAAGCGACGTGAACTGTATTGAAAAGCGGCTTAGTGAACTGCACCTCACGTCACTGGAAGACAAAAGAGTGCAGGGAGACATGATCACCACATACAAAATTCTCAGGGGAGTTGACAGGGTAGAGAAGGATGGATGATTTAACACGGGTAGTACATGAACAAGGGGACACAGGTGGAAGCTGAGTATACAAATGAGCCACAGAGACAT